GTACGCGTTGGACTCAGAACCGAGAGGTACCGGGTTCGGGCCTCTGTCAGGGTCACTCGCCCTTCTTCGTTCCGCGGTTGACATGTGAGCACTAATCCGTGGGAAAGAAAAAGGACACATGGCTGTAGAACTGGACACATGGCTGGCCACATGGCTGTATAACTCTGACTTTAAATTAAGGCACTTCCGGCTGAAGGCATGGAAATGGGGAACGTCATGAAAAGAATGCGGCCAAGAATGGCTTGTTCATGAAAGCAGAAACAATACCGACTTTTCATTGCATCTGTACATACCACTAATCGTTCAATTTTAGGTACAGTATCTACAACCACATGGGTGTCATCTTGTTTCCTTCACATACAGTGGTACTGATGTATTTTACATAAAATGATGGAAGGTAGGTGATCCAATCGGGAATCGGGCGCACAATCGAATTATTCGGATTCGACTACTCAAAGTACTCTCTATTAATTGAGCTTTCGTACCAGTGAATCAGAATCACTGAATTGGTTCTATGTTCCCATTCAAGCAGCCAAATTATACGTACACAAAAAATTAACAAATGGCAAAAATAATCAAAAGTATAACAAAAAACTATTCGAATTTGTTTAATCTTATGAAACAATAAACAATTCTCAGGTTTCAACAAATATACTAGGTGACAAAAGAAACCGCAGTTCAATGTTGAACTCATTTCAAACAAGCACGACGCCTACATGTAATTCACGAGCTTCTCGCGTTGTCTTACAAGCTCATCGCATCCCATCGCTTCACGTTGAGGAACCTTACCATGGTACTACGGAAACGGCACATCCCTGGTGACACTAGTGTCGCATCAGCGGCGTTAAGCCGAAGCAGAGCAAATAGGGAGTAAACGACCCACCCGAAGTTGCTGGTTTCCTGCAGTATTAACGGTTACCTACGCATGAATTAATAAAACAGTCTGTCTGTCTGTCATCCAGTTAGTTTTGACGATCACTCATACTTACTCGTCAGAGGCAGATACGTCAAACGGAGTCCTCAACATTCCTGATCCTGTGCAAGCGTCTGTGTTGGGAGAAGATAAATCAGAAGACCTATGGGACAGAGACCGTCGAGGCAGTTACTCACAGTCATACTTGATTGTCCCCGTTATCGTGTCTAGATGGTCCATCGTGTAATTATTAGTTGCCTTGCCTTACTTTCTGGAAGCATTCGCAAAATTTGCCCAAAACATCTTCTTCTGGAGAAACAATCACTGTATACAGATAATCCCAGAATTACGATCATTCGACTTAAGATTTTTCGATCATGTGATACCGATTACGATACAAAAAAATTCAAAAAATGTTTCCAATTTCACAAGAACAAGAACAGCTGAGCGTAAGCGTATGACATACGATAGTTTGGGAACGCTTAGGAGGCTGCCTGCAGTATTGCATCACTTAACGCGCGGTTTGCCTGTCTCCAGCGATCTAACCCTTAGTGAGATTCAAAAAGTATTTAAGCTTTGTATTATTTAGCACTTAAAAATTGTGCTTTTTTATAAGAATGGCCCCCCAAACATGCCAATGTTTCTCCTGTTGGTAGTGAGAAGAAAAGGAAAGCTATTACCTTGCAATTTACAATATTTTTGATGTACATTGCATTAAATTGTACCAAACTTTATTGCTCAGAGCACACTGC